TTGAAAAATAAAAGGGAGTCTTATAATTTTGGTTCACCCTATATATATATTATTTCATTATAGAAGATTTTTCTCTCCTTAGTTTTTTTTATTGTTTAAAAACATACCAAGAAAAAAAAAGCGATATGAATCGGAATGAAAAGTAAGGAAATGAGTTGTGTCATAAAAGATAAATGATATGATAGAAAAAAAAAAGGAAAACATCCTAGAAATAATAATTCCTAGATGAAATAATCATTCCTAGATGAAATAAGAAAAAATTCTAGTTAGATATTTATATAAAGAGAATTAATCAAGAATATATATCTATCACTATATTAGAATAATAATTGATCATCATTGAATATATTAAGAATAAATTATTTTTTAATCTTCACTCAATTCAATAAATATAAATCTAGAGAATAACAAAAATAACAATGTAAAAATTGAATTTATTTTTATCTTATTTCTTTTTTCGATAAGATAAATATAGAAATAAGAGATAAAACAATCTTTACTAATCGATTAAGAATAAATAATATTAAGAGAACTACCTTCAAGACTTATCATATTCAGAATAAAATAAAACAATCTAATTAACTTAAACTATTATCTATAAAAAAAAAAAGAAGAAGAAGAAAATCGTTTTATCTTGTCTATATTTAATAAAATGTTTCAAGGATTAATCTTGATGATGATGTGTCTAAAATAAAATAGTGTCTCTTTTCATAAATGACTTCGAAATATTTGTTTTATATTGAATGATAAAAAAATCAACTCAATTAATAATAATTATATTCATTAATAATAAAAAAAAAAGATATAGATGCATATAATTCCTATGAAAAAGAGAAGAAGGTCTTTGCTATAGAATGTCGATGATCAGTCTCTGATTAGTATATAAAAAGAGCAATAGATTATGATAGAAAAAAAAAATGTCTATCTTTATAATAAGAAAATGATTATATTGAAGAAAACGGAAAGAGAAGATCTACTACTATTCTATACATTCTATTAGTCAATTATTCTCTTACTTAATTCAATAAATAATTTAATCTAGTTTTTTCAACTTTCTACTTTTAAATAAATAATTTAAATATAATATATATTTTAAAATTCTTTCACTTATCATTTTGCATATCTCTTTTATTACTATGATCATTATACTGCGATATATATAACTATCAACGATAGATTTACACTCATAGAACAACTATTCCTATACACCAGTTAAATCCCACTGAGAAGATAGTCAATTGTTTAATAAACAAATAACCGATGGTTTATTGTCAATATCCCGTTGAATGTTGGTAGTAGTTTGTCATAAATATTTTTCATAAGTTGATTTTAATTTGTTTGCTGAATATAATCAATCGGATTTATTCTTAGATTTTATTTGACAAATTTTGTTGCCTTTTGGACTCAGTTAAAGACTAAACGCATCTACTTTAAATAATTTATTGTGATAGGCATTAGATTTAGGGGTGTGTGTATTTTTTTTTCTAAATATGTAATTAAAGGACTTATTCGATGTGTCAGGTAATGAAATGGAAAAGGGGTAAAATTGAATTTTGTTATAGAATTTATTATTTATTGAAGAAGTGAATATAGTTTAACAAAAGGATTTATTTTCAATTTATTAATAATAATTAAATTTTAATAAAAAAAAGTTTGATATTGTAGTAATTGAATGTAACGATTTGAATTGTTGATATTATTGTATGTCTATTCTAGAATGATAAATATATATTTATCATATTATTGATAATATATTGATAATAATATTATTAGATTGTTTTTTTTCCATCTGGTTTTATTGATGAAAATTGTTGATCATCAATTAAAAAAACTAGGCGATTAATAAATTCTATGATTAAAGATAATAAATAGGAGTTTAACAAATCTCTTATAGATAGAGATGATTATAATAGTCGACAATATCGAATAGTTATTCTTATTCGATAAAATCAAATTTGAACTTATCTTCTATATCCTCATATAGAAAATAATCTTTTAAAAATTCGAAAATTCTACTCTGACACTTTCCGACCATAACATTCGATGAGTATTTGCTGCTTTATTTTTCAAAATTAATCGAGAATT